CCGTGCCAAGAGCACACTCACCCCCGACGGACGGAGGACAGACAAACTCAGACTCAGCAACAAGACTAGTGGCGTAGTCTACGCGACACGCAGCAGCAAAGTCCACAAGCTCAGCAACTAAGGCAGACGTAGCAGTAGACTCAAACGATGGGTCAGTGACAACAGTAGCCAGGAGACGGGTGACAGTAGGGCTAGCAGCATTAACACGGTCAGACTCAGGGTACGAAACGACAGGGAGAGAGGACGTAGGAGGAGACGGCAGAGGGATGCGTTGTGGAACAGAGGAAGGACGAAGTGCCATAGTGTGAGTACCTAGCACTGGAGGAGGACGCGGACGCGGGAGGCAGGACGAGACACAGGCTCACGACGCTCTGTAAGGGAGACCGGCTGCTCAGTGTAACGGGACAAGGCAGGCAGTGGCGAGTCCGGAGGAAGGGCAGTGGACGAAGGAAGACTAAGAACCTGACGGAGCATCAACTCGGGCGGAAGCTCGGACAGCTACGGCTCAGCACCCCCAGAAGCACCACCCCCACGCTCAGCACGCTCAGGCGCAGCACCCCCAGTCTCAACACCCCTAAGCTCAGCACCCCTAGGCTCCGCATGCTCAGGCATAGCACCCCTAGGCTCCGCACGCTCAGGCTCAGCACCCCCAGGCCCCGCACCTACAGGCTCAGCACCCCTAGACGTAGCACCTCGAGTAGGACCACCCCCAGCAGCACCTCAGTCACCAGTGACCTCGACAAGCTCAACCAAGGGAAGTGGGTCTACCTGAGAGACACCTGAAGGAGCAGGACTCTGAGGGGTGACGGGGTCTACCAAAGGGGGACCTGGAGCAAGGAAGAGCGGCGGGGGGGGAGGGGTAGTGCGGCAGGGGAAGAGTCAGTAAAAGGGAACCGACTCGTCAAACGTGACGTCCTGAGAGGGGAAGACACGGCGCGAGGTGGGGTGGTGAACTGCCAGCCAGGCGCGTCGGTGGGAAAGCCAAGGAAGACGCAGCGCGAGCGGAGAGCTTGTCCGCGGTGGTATTGCGGACAAAGGCACGAGAGCCCCAGACCCGGAAATGCGACGCATCGCCAACCTCCCCCGTCCAACGCAGTGTGGGCGAGGTCTCCGGCAAGGAGACACGAGGCCAGAGGCTGAGATGATGGACAACGTACCGGACCGCAAACGGCCACAAAAAATGGGGAGCAACCGCATGGATCATGGAGGTACGGGCCACCTCCATGACTAAGCCAATGCGGCGCTCAGCAACCCCATTCTGCTACGGTGAGGCCAAAAGCGTGAACGACTGGAGGATGCCCTCCCCCTGACAAAAGTCCCGCAAGAGGTCGGAGGAGAACTCACCACCTTTGTCAGAGTGCAGACGTAGGACGGGAAGGTTCGTGCGGAACCGCTCGCAGAGCTGGAGACGTATAGCGCGGATCCAAGGGATCCCTGTTGTTTTGATCCAGTGCTATTTTGATCCCTCGGATCCCAGCTGCGCGGCCCAGTCCAGTGACGCGGGCTGGGCCCCACACGTCCATGTGGAGAGTCTGCAAGGGAGCAGTCGTCGGGGGAAACGAGGAGGAGTGAGGAGCGGCGCGCTGCCGCCCCTCAACGCAACAAACGCAGGGCGGGGCAGGCGAGGGTGGGAGGGAAGGAAGAGACCTGGGAAGACCAGTGAGAAGGAGGCGGGAGTGCATGTCACGAAGACGAGGCAGGGAGGGGTGACCAAGGCGATGGTGCCAAAGGAGAGTTGGGTGCGACAGGATGCGACACTCACAGGGGGGAGCTACCTCACCTGACGCGAACACCTGAGCAGATGCAGTAACCTGAGGAGGCCCAATAGTCAGTGTGTACAGACTCGACCCAGGCCAACGGGTGAAGGTGGCTAGGTGACGGTTAGTCCGGGAGCACGTGCAGATCGCCACACGCTGCCCTCCAAGGGCAAAGGTATCAACCCTTGCATCATGAAGGATGGCGGTACTCACCAAGTTCGTCGAGAACGAGGGGAGGTGGAGACCTGACAGTGAACCGGACGGAACCGCCGGACACGGGAGAACAGTGGAGGAACGTGCAAGAACTAGGCCCCTAGAGGGTCAGCAAGCGAGACTGCAACGGGTCAAGGCAGTGGTGTGACTGTGGTACTGTCGCGAAAGAAGCAGCGAGAAGCACCTGAGTCAAGCGTGAAGGTGTGCAGGGCTTCAGTAGGCGCAGTAACAGAGATAGCAAACTTACTAGCACCTAGAGCAGCAGCCTCTATACCAGGGTCGAGCGACACACACAGGTAACAGTCACCCTCAGTCAAAGCATACATTGCAGTGAGGATAGCGTCATAGTCTAGAGAAAATATATCCACTCTGTCCCGAAGCAGCTCTAGCCAGCGGGGGAGCTTAGCCTCGTCGCTGAACTGTGTGTACCAGGCGTCGCTCAGATAAACGAAGCATTGGAGCTGTGTATGGTCAATCGTCCCGCAAGTCTGATCAGCCTGAGCACCTGTGCGGATGACATACTGGCAGCGAGCAGTACTCCGAGACATCCCACGCTGAAAAAAACATTCACGAAGCTGCTGGGGTGTAAGGGTCTCGCGCGGACGCCGCTGCAGCTGCATCTGGCCACTACCAGAAACTCCCCACTGAAAAGCTCCACCGCGACTACCACGACCGCTGCCGCCACCACTCCCACCGCTACCACGAAGAGGAGTCATAGCGGGCAAAGCATGGAGGCGGATGACCAGCAGGGCAGCACGGAAGGAAGGCTGGGCGGCGAGCAGGCAGGGCAGGGCGTTGCGCGCGGGCAGGGCAGGGCCGGGCGCGTGGGCAGGGCAGGGCCGGGCGCACAGGCAGGGCAGGGCCGGGCGTGTGGGCAGGGCAGGCCAGGCGCGCGGGCAGGGCGGGGCTGGGCGCGTGGGCAGGGCAGGGCCGGGCGCGCTGGCAGGGCAGGACGTTGCGCGCGGGCAGGGCAGGGCCAGGTGCGTAGGCAGGGCAGTTCCAGGCGCGCGGGCAGGGCAGGGCCAGGGTGCGCAGGCAGGGCAAGGCCGGGCGCGTGGGCAGGGCAGGGCCAGGGCGTGCGGGCAGGGCAAGGCCTTGCGCGCTGGCAGGGCAGGGCCAGGGCGCATGGGCAGGGGAGGGCCGGGCGCGCGGGCAGGGCAGGGCCGGGCGCGCGAGGCTGCAGGGGCGGTGTGCGGGCTGCAGGGGCAGCGCGTGGGGCTGCAGGGGCAGCGCGCGGGCTGCAGTGGCGGCGCGCGGGGCTGCAGAGGCAGCGCGAGGGCTGCAGGGGCGACGCGCGGGGCTGTAGTGGCAGCACGCGGGCTGCAGGGGCGGCGGGCGGGGCTGCAGAGGTAGTGCGCGGGCTGCAGGGGCGGCGCGCGGGTCTGCAGAGGCAGCGGGCAGGCTGCGGGGGCAGCGCGCGGGGCTGCGGGGGCAGCGCGCGGGCTGCAGGGGCGGTGCACGGGGCTGCAGTGGCAGCGCACGGGCTGCAAAGGCGGCGCAGGGCAGGGCAGGGCGTGGGGTAGTGCAGTAACCGCAGTTGGTCACTAAGCTAATGGCGGGCTCGATAAAAACGGTCCTACGGACCTACTGCTCTGAAACCATGTTAGAATCTGATGAGCAGAGAATGATGCATTGAGCAGAGAAGTGGGTACAAATGCTAACCCTAATTTGGGTTGTACCCCTTATGGGCTACCCCACTACAGCCTACACAGCACAAACATCATTACAGTTTGACAGGAGGTCCATCCGTACCTCTTCAGCACACTACTGGACCAGGGGAAGGAAAGCATGCACTGTGGACGGAAGGCATGCACTGTGGCACGGGCATAAGGGTGGCGATCAGCGGCTGGCTCAGGGACCGGGATGGCTGCGGCGTACGTCAAGGATGCCCCCTAGCCTTGTATCTTTTCCTCTGCGCACTGGATCCGCTCTGCCTCGAGATCAGAATCTACTTCTCCGTGGATATCACATGAAGTGAATTCTAACTCAGTTATTTTTTGTTCAGAGCTACTCTGGAGAGTCACTCTACACCAACAGGAGTTTACGGGGAAGGCACAGGGTAAGAGTGATCGTAACATTCTCTCTAGCACTTGCTCATGTGTGAGTTCACGGGGCAAAACTGCAAGAGTTTCACCAGCAAAGTTGGAGAACAATGATAGTAATTTAAATGATAAGGATGACTACATCAGATGTAAAACAGCCAAGCAACTAAGTAGTTTTGTTAGGCCGCAGAGCATGCAGGATCGGTCCGCCACCACCGCAAAAAGTCTGTTACTTGTCCCAAACGGAAGGGCATAGGAGAAGTGAACCAGAAACCAGCGGAAAGGAACGGTAGATGGGAAAAGAAAGTTAACAATTGTGGCAAGAAAGGATAGCAGCAGCATCGAAAAACAGCAGTGTAGAAGAAATTGCACCAGGCCAATGGACCCAAGGAACACAACTTGTTACAACCTAAAAAGTAAACGTCCACTTTGAAAACAGGCTGGAAAAATAAACAAGGCATACGAGAAACATCTGGAAAAGCAGCCATGCTTTATAAAATAAGGCTGAATATTTTTCGAAGCTAAAAAAACAGTACTTTATTACACAGAATCAGTGCAAAAAGGTGAAATCCTTAGGCCCTGGATTGAATCAATCTGAGGTGGTAATTATGGCACACAGATGAACTTGGAACCTACACTCCCAACACACTTCTTCTCATTGTACATATAATATTTTGAAATCGCTCCATTCGCAGCTCCACCATAGAAGCTGTAAGCACCCGAGCACGTCAATGACGGTGACACTGGTTTTTGCCTGCCCTTCTTGCATCTGCCAACAACGAATGGCCAATACTCTGCTCTTAGGCAAATCTGCATTTACAAACACATCCGACAAAAGGAACATGTATCAAGGCATGGATATGCACGAGCAGAAAAGATTCTCAACGAACAATCTAGGCTGCATAGTTGGAAAAAAACACGTTCTCGTTGGCACATGAGAAATAACCCTTGCCAACTCACCCATGGAATGTACGTCTAGTCCGCAAGTTTACCCTCTATTTTTCCCTCCCATCTCTTGTGCACCCCGTTCCGATTCCCCTCCAACCCTCACCTGCAGGCCAGTGTTGCTGCCAACAGCAGAGGCGGAGGCTGGGATGACACTCGAGCAGATGAGGCCGGGATTGTTGCGGTACAGCTCAGCCCAGCGCATGGCATCCACCTTCCCAGCCCCGGTTGGGTCGTCCTCAATCCCCGCCACCTGCAGCAGCAGGCGCTCACACGTGTCCTGTGGTGTGAGCAAGCCATATCGCAAGCACTGAGGGACGGTGAAAGCAAAGGTGGCGTTGCGCTCGATGCACAGAGAGCGGCCCGCCTTGATGGGCTCAGAGCAGTTGAGGCCGGGATTGAGTGCCGTGAGGTTTCTGCTGGTGAGGAAGAGCTGCGCGCTGATGGACCAGCATGTGTCGCTCTGGAGGGTTGAGTGACAGGAGAGAAGGCTTGGATGCTTGATGCAAAAGGAGCACGGACAGCCTTGCTGAGGTGACGCAGGTGATTCATAGCAGGTGGAGATGACATGACAGCCTTGCTGAGGTGACGCAGCACAGAAGCAAGGGGGTCTGGAAAGAGAGGAATGATGCCAAGGGCTAAAGGTCACGGTGAGGATGCGGAAGAAAGCTTTGGAGGGCTGAACAGGTAGAGAGACTTGAACGGAGCACGGTTGTACTATGTGCACTAGGCTGCTGACACAGAGTAGAGAGGGGAGGTAAGGAAGGAGAGATATGTCTTGGTAGAATCCAACAGAATACAGAACAAGGACTAAAGCTCACACTGAGGGTGTAGAAGAATGCAGTGCAGGGATCGAGGAGAGGACTCCCCAGCTGAAGCACCATGTTACGAGGCAAAGGACGGCTGCAGTCGATGGTGCACAGACAATTTTTACTTCCCTTATCATCCTGTGGAGCTACTGCTTCCACTATCCCCCCACAATATGATTCATGCTTTCCCTGCTGTACCACCAGCCCTGCCTGCCTCTCAATGCCTGCAGGCACTCTCTACTTCTTACCGCATTCTGCTGCATGAATTGGGCAAGTGAGAGGCCCACAAGCGGGAGGACATCGGAGCACCACCAGTTGCTGCCACTCACTACCAAGGTGCTGGCTGTGGTGTTGGCTGAAAAGAAACAAACGTGAAAGAAGGGGAACACACCAAGTAGTAGGGATTAAATAAAAGCCAATCTACTAGTTGTGTGTGTGCAGATCACAGGGACGGACTGTGAAAACAGGTCGCAGGGGTTGTGAGGACCCCAACCTATGATACATCAACCACTGAAAGCACTGGCGAGCCTCCCACACACAACGCGAAAGCAGCAGCACCTGGGTCGCAGGTGGGAAAACTGTCAATTGTTGTGCTGGCAACGTAGTTGGGAGGGCAGATGCAGGAGTAGGAGCCCTTGCCATCGTTGATGCATGCGCCCACGTAGCAGGGGTTCTTCAAGTCAGACCCACATACGTCCACTGCCAAGCAACACAAGCAGAATTGTGGAGCACAGGGATGAGGCAAAGAGATACATGAAAGTGCTGGGAACAATGGGAAGAGAGGGGGGAGGGAGGGGAGGAGAGATATAAATCTAGAAAGATTTAGATAGAGAGAGGCTTGGTTGACAATATGTCTGAACAACATATCTGCCCATCATTTGGACAACCCCCATGGATCAACATTTTTGAAAGAACAGAAAACAACTTACAATAGGCACAAGTCTGGGAGCCATATGCATTCGCAACTTCAACAAATGGCTGCTTGGTTTCATTCGGGATGGTGCAGTTACACGAGTTGGTGTTGCTCCGTAGGTTAGCCCGGCATGAGAAGCGCCCACACGGGTTCATGCTGGGCTGCAGTTCGCCGTCACCCTTGAAGCTCCTCTGGCCGCAAGGGTCTTTGGGAACTGGAGGGTGGTACAGATGAGAGCAGGAGGAGTAGAAACAGGTATGGCTGCAGTTTCATTGAATCAGACTGTGGGAAGGATTAGGCAAGCTTAGCAACGTGACAGGAATATGAAAGCTGAGCCAAGAAACAGGAATAGGCAAGCTTAGCCAAGTGACAGGAATAAGGCAAGCTTAGCCAAGTGACACGAATAGGCAAGCTTAGCCAAGAGACAGGAATCGGCAAGCTTAGCCAAGTGACAGGAATAGGCAAGCTTAGCCAAGAGACAGCAATCGGCAAGCTTAGCCAAGTGACACGTGAAAAATCTGGAGAACGTGAGTCTGCAATGAACCTTCCTAAAAACGCGGAGACCACTGGCTGACACTCTTCCCATTGAAAATGACTCAGTCCACCCTACTCTATAGACCAAACGTGAGCCACCCTTTGGACGCATTTCAGTTGATCTTCAATCAAAAGCTTGTTTCATGCATTCAAGCGTAGTTGACCCTGTGGTGTACTTGAAGGGGCGAGATTGAGATATGGAGAGGTTGAAAGGGAAAGATGCCTCACTCAAGACCAACCACGTTCACTCTTCACTCCTGACAATGGGGTAGGGTAGATGCCTCACTTTTGACGATGGGGTAGATGCCAGGCAGCACGTTGATGCCACACACGCCATCCCCTCCCTGAATGTCCATGCGCATGTGGCCCCGGTCGCCCCACTCCACTCCCCACGAGTTGCGGATGATCCAAAATGGAGGTGCAATGCGACTTTGGCTGCCGTCATTCCTCAAGACGAAGTAGCCAACAACGAGTACAACATGGTTCAGTCTGCCGGTATAGCAGCCAGGATCCTGGAACTTGAAGGTCTGAAGAGAAAGGGGGACACCATGATAATCACCGAGGAGGGATGAAAGTGCATACTTTTAGGCATATAGCTCGATGCGTGCGGCTACCAACTTCTGTGCAAATCTTGACAACTGATGCACAGCATGTAGGGTCAGTGTAAGAAACACCCACCCTGTCATATTGCGCAAACTCTGGAGCAGAAGCCTCGATGTGAACCACCACTGGCTGTCGTCGCACTGCCAGCATAAGCCCCACAAACAACTTGAACCGCGTGCGCTCAAATCCGTGAACAGGGTAGTACTTCTTCTGAAAAATATCATTTGAGGAAATTTCATCTCAATAAGGAAGGGAGAAAAAAGAAACACAGAAAGAGGCCGCCATAGAAGAAGGCAGTTCATTTGCGACAAACACGAATAACCTATTTAAACCTAGGCAATCATAGCAAGCGGTAGAATGTTGGGGGTGCATAGAATTATGATTAAAATAACCTTGGTGTATTCAGACACGTTCACTTCTGCATGTAATAGGGAATCTCCAAGGCTGGCTCGGCCCTCTCGCGGCTCATTGGGAGTCGTTCTAGGCGGGCCCTTGATCGTGCCTGGTAGAAGTTGTTTGCCCCTTGCTTCCATAACTTGGCCTCTTGGCCAAGACCTGATCAATCCATTATTGCGTGTAAAGTTGAAAGAGCACTGTGATGCTAACAGTTGGTTCAACTCGGTTACACCTTTGCAAGTGGCTGCAACGGCTGACTCTAGATGTCAGAAAGACTCCTCGTATGACCACTTGTAGGATAGTTGCAACTCTCTCAACATCAGGCGCGCCACTTGAACTTCCCAGCTCTTTCGAATGTAAATCTACACCTTTCCAGCCGTTCACTTCACCTCACTACTCACAGGAGCACCAGCCTCTGTGACTCCAGCACGCGGCAGCGTGAGAAGCCTTTCAAACGCTTCGGTGGGAGAGCCCCCTGTGATGCACTTGTCAGCTTCGGAGGTGAGCCCCATGGCTGCAAAGAGTGACTCCACTGACAGCTGTGGCGCCTCTGCGTTCATTGCAATGCCGTATGCCGCTTCCACGCTTGCCACCAGCGCAAAAGCCCAACAAGCACCTGGGGTGATGAAAACAATTTGTAAAGAAGTGAAGCAGATTCCACATGTGTTAGAAATGGTTGAAACACGCATTGTGCTGAGAGTACTGTGCAATGGTTGAAACACGAAGGTGACCAGCAGCAGAACAGCAGGCGGGGAACACGCAGATTGTAGTGCCCAACCGAAACACACACGCAAAGCTATATCGGCAGTAACATGCTTTTTGAGGTTCCCCCCCTTCATTGGTTTTACTCACTGCAGTCTTTCTGGTCCTTGACGGGCCAGCCGAGGAAGGGCACGGAGTCCCAGGAGTGGAAGTCGCTGATGACCCATGAGTCCTGCTTGCTGGGTGCCACTCGGTAGTCCGCACTCACATAGCGCGGGAAGGGGCTGGCCCTCTCTGGCATGTACGTGTCCGTTGATAGCCGCAGGCCATAGGCTGGGACGTGCTCGGGAGTTGCATTACGGAGAAAAAAAATGGGATGTGAAAGAGGCAAGTGGTTACAAGGGAGAACATGGAGGGGGATAATGAATGGGCTGGGTGGGGTGCATGGCGTTTACATTGCTAGGCTGCATCTCATACCTGACCATATCTGCACCTCGTGCGGCCATTTCACAACCATTTCACATCCACCAAACAAGCACTCTGTTGAGTGCTGATGCACCTGTATTGTTACCTCGCTCTTGCACAGTTCAGGTCTCTCATAAAGAAAACGCTTCCTCAAATCAGTATACCACAGACATAGTTGCTCATCTTCTCGTTTTCCCAGTAAGATTAGGATCAGTTTGTTCCGGATTAGGTGCAGTGTGCTGTGCTCCATCAACCACTTTGTCTTGCATGCGTAATTAATATGAAGAACCTCCTTCTTGTCTTGCATGTTATTCTTGCAAGTTATCCTTCCTGTTATGCATTGCTTTAGACCACATTGTCCTGCATGTTATTCTTCCTTCTTGCACCTAATCTACCGGATGCATCCGTATGTAATACGAAAGAACTTCCAAATGGAAAACGAAAAAGAAGAATAACGAGGAGATTGAAGGATACAAGTGGAAAGATAAACAAAAGTGAGGGCAAACATTTGTACTCATCATAAGATCAGTCGCTTGCCTCTTTTGTCCTTCTAATAGAGGTAGTTGCGAGAGTCGCAACAGACACATGGGAGACGATTTCTCACCTGGATAACGTACGACTGTTCGGGGAGAAGCAGGAAGGCCTGGAAAACGAGAAAGCAATCAGAGCAAAAGAAAAAAGACAGTGTGTAAGACTCAGAAAATGTGTGACTCATACCTACAGTCACTTCAAGGTTGCATGTATTTGGCAAACCGTCCATCACTACCCTCATGAACACCAGCACCCTTATTCACCGGCACCACCCTCATCTTCACCAGCTCTACCCTCACCTTCATCAGCACTGATCTCATCTTCGCCGGCACTGCCCTCATCTTCACCAGAACTATCGTCACCTCCACAAGCACTACCCTCATCGTCACGTTACTTAACATCACCATCCACTCCCACGGTCTCGTTCCCACCTCCTCGGACGTCCAGTGTTGTGAACCACCATGTCGTGATCATCCCCCTCGCATCACACGCTACTTACCTGTGTCCACGGTCGATTCAAGAATGACGTGCCGTTGAAACGGCTTCACAGTGGTGGACGCCACGAAGCCAAAGAAGAAGGCGGGCTGCTCGGCTGCACCCTGCAGCACCTCACACAGCGCCAGCCTCCTCTCCAGCAGTGCCTCCTGCGGCTTCTCCTGTGAGTCAGCCAGGAAGACCTGGATGGTGCCAGGGTCCCCCGGCTCATAGTCCACCCACACCGTGTACGCCTTCCTATTGCTCAGAGGAAAAGGCGACCTCACAGCGGCTAGCGACCTGTCCTCGCCTCGAACGTTCAACCCCACATGCTGGCTGCTCATGTCGCCGTGCTGCTTGTCCTGCCGGGTGTCAAACTCCACCGCCATGCTCCGCTTGTCCATTCCACCGTACCCCACACCGGCACTGCTCCCCACCCGGTCCGTCGCCGAGACAACAAAGGCAAAGCCGTTGAAGCCCACGCGGCCAGACTGAGGCGAGAGGGAGAAGGTGAAGTTGGCATGGAAAGCAAGCTGCAGCCCACACCGCGACAGCGCCTGCCCTGCCTCGTACACAAACAGCATCACTGGTGCTGCGGTGAAGCTCCCCCTCGTCTCGCGCTGTGTCCCCTTGGTGAGCACAGATGCTGGTGGGAGAACCGGCTGGCTGCTTGAGTAACTTCTGTTCTGGCCTGCACACGTGTAATAGACAGACGGGCAGTAAGGAGTGGGATAAGAGCGTGAGACGAGAAGCAATGCTTATGAAACCAAAGTAGGTCGAACGAGCTTCCATTCAAACAGCCTGCTAGAGGTCCCACAATTTTGCGAATGCGTGATAATGCCTCATCGATTTCAAGTGGCTTCCCTTACCTTGAGGAACACAGCTGATCTCTTCAAACCGTACGAATCCCACATTACACAGACACGTGGGTGCCAAGCTAGCCTTCTCTGGATAGCACACCCCATGCCCATCACACGCAGCAGCAGCACCCGCAGCAGAGGACACGCCACAGAACGCGTTGCATGCTGCCTCCTGCCGCTGCGTCACCAAGTTACAGCCAAGCGGCAGCGTGAAGCAGTTGGCATCGAAAGAGAAAGGCTGGCATGACCCGTCGGGCAGAGGGCCCGAGAGGAAGTTGTTGGAGAGATACAAAATTCTCGCAGCAGGAGGCTTCAGTGCAGGCCCTGTGAGGTAGTTGTGTGAGAGGTTGCTGCAGGGGTGAGGGAGGGGCAAGTTCCGGAAGAAGGGCAGATGAGGAGCGTCTCAGTGCAAGTGGATTTGGAAATGCTGAGTGCAGGGAGCGAAGGTGTGAAGGGGTGTTTAAGTATGGTGGGTGTGCAGATGAGGAAGAAAAGAAGGCGGAGAAGAAGAGGAGGCCAGAAACAGAGAAGAAGGGGGAGAGGAGGTGGACAAGGAGGAGGCGGAGAAATAGGAAGAAGAGGCATGTAAGGGAATGGCGTGGTGAGAGAGACAAGGGAGTTTGGAGGTGAAAACTGAAGACTGTTGTAGTGTTTCCATAAACAACATACATATGCTAGTATAGGCAGTGTAGTCATTTGACCTATTGGGGGTTTGCTGGGTGTGCCCTTCTCTACCACAACATTGAACTGGTCAAGTCAAGCTTGACCTTGGTCCTTCCCATTTACCAACTTGTTGGTCTTAAGCTCCCCCAATGCCAACCCAACCATCCCACATTTGTCATTGCTTGTCTCACAAGCACACCTTTTTGTTGGTCAACTTAATGGGTCATAGGAAAGGCTTTCTGGCTAACCCTTTCATGCTTCTTCCTTGGGTGTATTAAAGTGCCTCGTGGATCCTTACCCAATATAGTCGATTTTTGAGTCGACTCAAAAGTGGATCCTTACCCAATATAGTCGATTTTTGAGTCGACTCAAAAGTGGATCCTTACCCAATATAGTCGATTTTTGAGTCGACTCAAAAGTGGATCCTTACCCAATATAGTCGATTTTTGAGTCGACTCAAAAGTGGATCCTTACCCAATATAGTCGATTTTTGAGTCGACTCAAAAGTGGATCCTTACCCAATATAGTCGATTTTTGAGTCGACTCAAAAGTGGATCCTTACCCAATATAGTCGATTTTTGAGTCGACTCAAAAGTGGATCCTTACCCAATATAGTCGATTTTTTAGTCGACTCAAAAGTGGATCCTTACCCAATATAGTCGATTTTTGAGTCGACTCAAAAGTGGATCCTTACCCAATATAGTCGATTTTTGAGTCGACTCAAAAGTGGATCCTTACCCAATATAGTCGATTTTTGAGTCGACTCAAAAGTGGATCCTTTCCTTACCCAATATAGTCGATTTTTGAGTCGACTCAAAAGTGGATCCTTACCATACAACTTATCATCTTTCCACACAGACATGGAAGCAATTCTAAGGATGTGGAGGCCGAGAAACGATATGAAGGGCGCTGGAATGATAATCATAGGCATGCATGTGTTGCTGCGCAAAGAAGAATTTTAGTGCATGCTTGGCATGCATGCATGCTTGGCAGGTCCCACAATCAGCCATCTGGATTCCTATTGGCGCAACTACAAGGATTTCCATTTATCTGTTTATTTTCGGTATTGTTGATATTTACTGCCGTCACTGCTCATACCTTTCTTCTCCTTTCTGTTCCAGCATACCATTTCTTTGTTTCTCTTGAGGTTAGAGGGCATGCATGGCATCGCAACGAGGTGAGAAAGTGCACATAGTTCAATAGCTCGCTCAGGAACATGATTCTGAAAGTGCAACGAGTGGGCGCTTGTAGATTGCACATAAGAGGGAAAACGCTAGAGCATGAATTAAAAAGGAGAGGTGGGTTTGTGTGTCCGTGGTACAGGAATGTGAGGTTTGTGAGCTTGGTGAGAGTGCTCGGTATACTCCCATACAGCTCGTTGAAGGCGAGAGACCTGATGGCGATGGTGGTGGGATGGGAAAGATGTTAGAGGAGCAACGGGAAGGATAGAATGGGAGGATGAGGACGAGTGGAGTGCCAATTTGGGTGGAGTGCCAATTTGGGTGGAGTGCCAATTTGGGTGGAGTGCCAATTTGGGTGGAGTGCCAATTTGGGTGGAGTGCCAATTTGGGTGGAGTGCCAATTTGGGTGCAGTGCCAATTTGGGTGGAATGCCAATTTGGGTGGAATGCCAATTTGGGTGGAATGCCAATTTGGGTAGGTGAAAGATGTTTGCGATTGAAGGCCGAAGTGGCACAGTACGCCAGAAATCTGGAATCCTCACCTGGTGTATTCCCTAGCTAGACTCACTTGGTGTATTCCCTAGCTAGACTCACTTGGTGTATTCCCTAGCTAGCTGTATTCCCTAGCTAGACTCACTTGGTGTATTCCCTAGCTAGACTCACTTGGTGTATTCCCTAGCTAGACTCACTTGGTGTATTCCCTAGCTAGAATCACTTGCTGTATTCCCTAGCTAGACTCACTTGGTGTATTCCCTAGCTAGACTCACTTGCTGTATTCCCTAGCCAGACTCGCTTGGTGTATTCCCTAGCTAGACTCACTTGGTGTATTCCCTAGCTAGACTCACTCGGTGTATTCCCTAGCTAGACTCGCTCGGTGTATTCCCTAGCCAGACTCCTCGGTGTATTCCCTAGCTAGACTCACTCGGTGTATTCCCTAGCTAGACTCACTCGGTGTATTCCCTAGCTAGACTCACTCGGTGTATTCCCTAGCTAGACTCACTCGGTGTATTCCCTAGCTAGACTCACTCGGTGTATTCCCTAGCTAGACTCACTCGGTGTATTCCCTAGCTAGACTCACTCGGTGTATTCCCTAGCTAGACTCACTCGGTGTATTCCCTAGCTAGACTCACTCGGTGTATTCCCTAGCTAGACTCACTCGGTGTATTCCCTAGCTAGACTCACTCGGTGTATTCCCTAGCTAGACTCACTCGGTGTATTCCCTAGCTAGACTCACTCGCTGTATTCCCTAGCTAGACTCACTCGCTGTATTCCCTAGCTAGACTCACTCGCTGTATTCCCTAGCTAGACTCACTCGCTGTATTCCCTAGCTAGACTCACTCGCTGTATTCCCTAGCTAGACTCACTCGCTGTATTCCCTAGCTAGACTCACTCGCTGTATTCCCTAGCTAGACTCACTCGCTGTATTCCCTAGCTAGACTCACTCGCTGTATTCCCTAGCTAGACTCACTCGCTGTATTCCCTAGCTAGACTCACTCGCTGTATTCCCTAGCTAGACTCACTCGCTGTATTCCCTAGCTAGACTCACTCGCTGTATTCCCTAGCTAGACTCACTCGCTGTATTCCCTAGCTAGACTCACTCGCTGTATTCCCTAGCTAGACTCACTCGCTGTATTCCCTAGCTAGACTCACTCGCTGTATTCCCTAGCTAGACTCACTCGCTGTATTCCCTAGCTAGACTCACTCGCTGTATTCCCTAGCTAGACTCACTCGCTGTATTCCCTAGCTAGACTCACTCGCTGTATTCCCTAGCTAGACTCACTCGCTGTATTCCCTAGCTAGACTCACTCGCTGTATTCCCTAGCTAGACTCACTCGCTGTATTCCCTAGCTAGACTCACTCGCTGTATTCCCTAGCTAGACTCACTCGCTGTATTCCCTAGCTAGACTCACTCGCTGTATTCCCTAGCTAGACTCACTCGCTGTATTCCCTAGCTAGACTCACTCGCTGTATTCCCTAGCTAGACTCACTCGCTGTATTCCCTAGCTAGACTCACTCGCTGTATTCCCTAGCTAGACTCACTCGCTGTATTCCCTAGCTAGACTCACTCGCTGTATTCCCTAGCTAGACTCACTCGCTGTATTCCCTAGCTAGACTCACTCGCTGTATTCCCTAGCTAGACTCACTCGCTGTATTCCCTAGCTAGACTCACTCGCTGTATTCCCTAGCTAGACTCACTCGCTGTATTCCCTAGCTAGACTCACTCGCTGTATTCCCTAGCTAGACTCACTCGCTGTATTCCCTAGCTAGACTCACTTGCTGTATTCCCTAGCTAGACTCACTTGCTGTATTCCCTAGCTAGACTCACTTGCTGTATTCCCTAGCTAGACTCACTTGCTGTATTCCCTAGCTAGACTCACTTGCTGTATTCCCTAGCTAGACTCACTTGCTGTATTCCCTAGCTAGACTCACTTGCTGTATTCCCTAGCTAGACTCACTTGCTGTATTCCCTAGCTAGACTCACTTGCTGTATTCCCTAGCTAGACTCACTTGCTGTATTCCCTAGCTAGACTCACTTGCTGTATTCCCTAGCTAGACTCACTTGCTGTATTCCCTAGCTAGACTCACTTGCTGTATTCCCTAGCTAGACTCACTTGCTGTATTCCCTAGCTAGACTCACTTGCTGTATTCCCTAGCTAGACTCACTTGCTGTATTTCCTAGCTAGACTCACTTGCTGTATTCCCTAGCTAGACTCACTTGGTGTATTCCCTAGCTAGACTCACTTGCTGTATTTCCTAGCTAGACTCACTTGCTGTATTTCCTAGCTAGACTCACTTGCTGTATTTCCTAGCTAGACTCACTTGCTGTATTCCCTAGCTAGACTCACTTGCTGTATTCCCTAGCTAGAATCACTTGCTGTATTCCCTAGCTAGAATCACTTGCTGTATTCCCTAGCTAGACTCACTCGGTGTATTCCCTAGCTAGACTCACTCGCTGTATTCCCTAGCTAGACTCACTTGGTGTATTCCCTAGCTAGACTCACTCGGTGTATTCCCTAGCTAGACTCACTCGCTGTATTCCCTAGCTAGACTCACTCGCTGTATTCCCTAGCTAGACTCACTCGGTGTATTCCCTAGCTAGACTCACTCGGTGTATTCCCTAGCTAGACTCACTCGCTGTATTCCCTAGCTAGACTCACTTGCTGTATTCCCTAGCTAGACTCACTTGCTGTATTCCCTAGCTAGACTCACTTGCTGTATTCCCTAGCTAGACTCACTTGCTGTATTCCCTAGCTAGACTCACTTGCTGTATTCCCTAGCTAGACTCACTTGCTGTATTCCCTAGCTAGACTCACTTGCTGTATTCCCTAGCTAGACTCACTTGCTGTATTCCCTAGCTAGACTCACTTGCTGTATTCCCTAGCTAGACTCACTTGCTGTATT